GTGTATAATGTGAAACGGACGAATAGTTCTGGAGGTTTTACGGGTGAGTTACTGGAGAAGAGAGAATGCCGAGACTCGCGCGCGATGTTCTCCGAAGGAACACAGAAGCCAGGTGGTATGGACAGCGCTCCAGTACTGTGTTCTGCACCTGGCAAGGTATTTTATTTATATATATACAAATACATACACATGATGTGTAACTTATTTTAAACGGAAAAACAACACGCTGCTGCCTCTCGTCGCTCTATCTCTATTCCCACAGAGTCCTTGGTATTCGGTGTACTATGCTCTTCCAGGCTCTAATGATTTTGGACACTTCACGCACTACTAACAAGGTCACCAAACTCGGTCTCGCAAGTCTTCTACGGTTAAGATTACTTGTTATTTAATATTATTATTATTATTATTGAAATAAAATAGTAGCGATTAGATTAGACGATTATACGTCATTTCGTTTAATTTGAATAATACTATATAAGAGAAATTAAACGAAGTAATCTAAACATGTGCTTTCAATTTGATAAAGCTCGGTAAAAAATCTCTTCAGGAGGTAATATGTAGTGCGTAGTTAATTTGAATACTGTATTATGTGCACATATATTGAAGCAAACGTATAAAAAACTGGTGATTTCGAATTGAAATCCCTATGATATACAACTAATAAAATACAAAAAAAAAAAAAAATAGAAATATATGATAGCAAATAAGTCCGGAATTAACTGATTATGCATCATTACAAAATCTTTAAAAAAAAAAAACAAGTCTTAAACAATTTTTGGGAAAATATCCTTTAAGTACAACGATAATAATGTAATCCAAGTATTCAAAAGCACAATTTAACAAAAAAGCTATTAAATATAAATGTCGAACTGACAACAAAATACTGCCAGATGATATCTTAAATATATTAACAATAATAATTGAAATTTCAAGATTAAACTATAAATGTAATCTGCGCAGTAATTCAAAATACAATTTTTGAACCTGTAATAACGCGTATACATATATAACCGTAAAATATACTCACATTTTTTTAACAATCATAAAAAAATTAAATATTAAACTAAATGTTTTTTAATTTTTTAAAATTCAAACAAACCTGCTATTATCTAATTCAGCACACAAAACAAACTACTTTTCTTTAATCAACAGACATCCTATTTACCCAAAAACTTTAGGCGTTAAGATAAAAATGCATTTTTGAAATCACGCCTTTACAATTGTAAAATACTCAAATTAAAACAAAAAAAAAGTATAAGGTTATAAATTATTTTTGAAAATTGATATCGACATTAATGAGGGTTTTTTAGATATAATTATCAAAGGTCTTTTGTTTCAAAAACCAAACTAATATGAATAAATTTTAGAAAAATTGTACAAGCCAAACCTTGTGACCATTTCTGGCATTTAAATACAGCTGAAATTTCTCTATACTTTTCCAAAATTTCATGTTTGTTGTATCAAAATGCATAAATAGTACAATTAAACTAAAATATAAATGTTAATTTTATTTTTATTTTTATTTTTCAATGTATAACTTCACCAACATATATTTTTAAACATTCAAAAGTGTTAAACAATATCTGTTATATGTATTTAATTAATTTAAGCTTATTATTCACACACTATTAAAAAAACGCCTAGAAATCCTAATTAAATCGGAAAATAATATGTTTCGTATAGTAAAGCAATGACATGGAAAGGTACTGAGTAAAAAAATAATCAATCTTACATTTTTTTATGGAAAACCTGAGGAATGTACATTCTAATAATCTGGCAAAAAAAATTTATCAAATTTATGTATATAATAAAAATTATATTGAAAACAAAAATATGATTGTGTAAATGTACATGGTTTATAAGAACTGTTTTTTTCTTAAAATCGTAAATTAAAGATTATTTTTAATGGAAACCCAATCTATGTCAGCACCTTGGATATATTTATTTTATCTCAACAAATTAGTCAAAATAATAAAAACTTACAACGATTAATTTTATATTTCCTTCGATTAAATAAACATAAAATTCACAAAACGAAGTATTTGTAATTACAAAATTTAAACACTGAATTTTTATCTTGATTAAGCTTTATCCTGCTTAATATATTATTAAATATGTTCAACAATAAGTTATGTACAAGAACCTATCAAATCTAATTGCCTTTAATGCCAAATTAATTAAATGCTTTAATTGATATTCTTGATGTGTTCAAGTAGAATTCGCACATTAATTAAGTACTAAGACCTTACTACCACAGCGCAAAAATAAGATAAGTAAAAAGAAACTTTTTCTGAATTCGTATCTATAGTAACCAATAACCTTGATTTTATTACATTTTTTTTATCTCGTAAACATACTAATCTCTGTCTGCGTATTACCAAATCTATTCTTCATGGACTATGGTAATCTATTCTTCGTTGTATCATCAATACTTCACAGAACTATCATATAGATAATATGTTTAGTAATGATTTATATTGTATAACAACAACGATGGTAATCAATCCCTCAAATCCCGCTGAGAGGGGACATTATTTTACTATATTATAGTATTACAGGGTCATTTTAACTCCACCAACGTACTACGATTTGATCGTCCAGACAGAGATTCTCTCTCTCCCTCTCTCGTCCTCCAGAAAAACGAGAAAAATATAAATCTTATTGAATTTTTTGCTATTTAGATAAGTTATTATAATCGTACGATAAAATGTAATTTAAACTAAAAATTAATTTTGTGAATATTATTCGTGATACTTATTACCACTAACTATGGTATCAAAACTAGAAAAAATGAAAACATAAAATAAATATTAACATTCATGTATAATGTAATTTTTTTAAAACGTTTAAAATATTTTTGAGCTTCAAGAAATTATATGCTATAACAACCCACATGATAAGTAGATTATTTAAGGTTATTATTAAATATTTTATTAGTACTAGTGGTAAATTTCAGAGTCAAATTACTATATTTTTAACTGAAACTAAAACATCTTTGTCATTTTCTTTAGAATTTCCATAACTAATAGGGAAAATTTAATGATTGTAATTCTATAATCTAATACCATGACGTGTATATGTGGCATTCCAAACATTAATTTTATCAAAATGTTTATTTATGAATAATAATTTATTGCTTTATTGCGTTTTTTTATATAATTATATTAATTAAAGAAAAATTATAGCAATTTAGTGAAATGTATGCATTATTGTACATAATAAAAATACTAGTAAATGAAAAACAATTACCTTACTTATTTTGAAACAAAATGCATCATAACGAGAGCTTTGAAGTGTACAACTTTTATAGTAAATAATTTTGAAACTGACACATTGAAATTTAGAATTTTGTAAAAATTTTGATTAACTAAAAAATTTTGATCTAAAATATTTCAACCTTTATTTATTAAAATTATCCATGGTGCTTATTGATGTTTAATAAACGGTATCCAGAAGAGTATCCATGGAGATCATAAATTCTTTCAACAAAATACTTTACCAAAATATTAATCTAATTGGAAATTTTCACAATTTACAATAATATGTATATATATATAAAATATGTTAACATATTAAAACCTAATAAGACAACATTAAACATTATATGGTTAATGAATTGTATTTAACATCAAAACAGAAAGCTAGCAAAAAAAGTTAAAATTTGAATTAATTTAAACACGATTTATTAACAATGATAATAATAATAATTTATCTGATACTACAAAAGAGATGATAAAATTAAGTGGTAACCGGTAACCATTCACTATACCACGTGATGCTATTATGCCACCTGTATATATTCAAATTTTATAAAATAAAGAAATAATACCAGTTATGCAGCGACGGAATGTCTCCGATATAAGCACAAATCAACTTTACTTAATTATTTTTAAGAAATATAGAGTGAAATTAAACGATGAAGATAATTGTAAATACATTTTACTAGATTAACTTTTCACTTTAAAATAAAATCTAGTAAATATTCTAAGAGCAAAAATGAATTTACAAGTACCCCATTTGTTTATATTTACTTCACTTCACTCTACGAATTAAAAATTAAACATTTATATAATAATAATTATGTATAGGTACCAGAATTATTCTTTGTAACAATCCTTATTATGACTATTTAACTTATAAACTGAATTATCAGACTATTCCAACTAAATTATTTGTATTAAGTTTATATAATCAATATTCATTAAATTTTATTACAGCAAAAAACTCATAACATTTTCTATTTAAAACCTTTTTGATTATAAATTAATTTCGTAATTTTATATATATATAAATGAATCCACTATTTATTATTTGTTGATTTTATTTTAAAAATTTAATTTCATTTATAATGAAGAAGATTTGGAATTCAATCGCTACATTTTAAAATAAATGAATAATATAGGGACATATAATTTAACCCATTTTTATTCTTTCTTTTTGTAACAGTAAGCATGATGAAAAATTTAGATACTGCTATTTTTATGCATGATGTTGCGATTTTATGATTACAATTTTTTCAAAACTTTGTAGGTAACACAATAAAAACAGATTTACCCATCATCACCTTAAATGAAAACCATGATTTTTATAAAAACTCACAAGTTATTTTTCAAAAAAAAATATACTTTCTAATGACATATTATATTTTTTACACATACTAAGATTCTTACGTCAAATATACATATTAATAATTAAAACTTAAGTTTATTTAAAAATTAATTATTATTTACTTGTTTTTGAAATGGATTTTTACGTTAAACATTATCTTGCATCCACATTAGCGATATCGTAAATGAATATTTAATAACTTCATATATTTAATGCCGATAAAATTGGATGTGATTTAAAATCCATCAGTTTCCGTTTATTTTCAATCTCAGTGATACAATTAAACATGATTATGTCGAGAATTTTATATTAAGGTTGGTAGCATTGTTCGTATTATCAACAGTTATCATCTTAATTACTGAAAATAAACTTATTATATATTCAAAATGTTAACAATAATTATTCTCAGAGAAGTTTCTTTTAAGTAAAATCTATTTATTTTAATTTATCTAGAAGTATATGTATATTTTTTGTATTATTTTAAGTAAACTTTTTATTAAGTAAAAATATTTTATTTTGAATAAAACTGTATCATTTGTTTTGAATTTATTATTTTTGATAAATCCAGTACTATTTTTCTTACTTAACAAAAATGTTTCTCTCAGTTAACCAATTAACTGTTCTTATGAAGTATGATCTTAAATTAATAAAGCAGATTTTTTCATGTTACCATAATTACTACATTATTTTTTAGTATCCTTAGCGAAGAAACTGTCGAGAACCAGACTTTAGAATATCTTGTATCACAGCTCCATCAGTATTTCAAACGAGAAGATAATTTTAAAGGTAATCTAAAACAAGTGTACACACTAAATATTATTACTATTACTATTACAAAATAATGAGATATATTTAAAATAAATATTGTATAACTATATTTAGGAAACTCTTAAATCTTACCTAATAAATAAAATTTTAATTATATATCATTAAAATTAAGAAAGATTTTTTGTAAAAATGTTTATATTGTAGTCTAAATGATATTAAGACATTATATAATATAATTTGTTAAAATCTAATGTTAGCTTAAATTGTGTTAACTCTTAAACTACTTATGTAATTATTTCACTTTGAAAAAAATATATTAAATTTAATATATTACTAAAAATAAAATATCTTTATGATTTTTCTAGTTGGATGCACTTTACTTATGCTGATTCAACATTCTGACTTTTTATTAAATCAAACACAGAAATTTGCTGCAATCATACTATGTTATGAATTATACAGAAATGAACCCATTGCAACAAATCCATTAGCACCAGTTTTTATGCATCTTTTGGTAATTTTAAAACATTTTTGTCTTATTTTATAAAATATCATTAATTTTAACATAGAATACTGAAAAACATAAATCTGGCATTACTTATGTAAGCTAAATTATCTTCAAATAACTGCCTTTTTTTTTAATAATTAACTTGATTTTCTATTTTCATTGTATTCAAAACCATTAGATATTTCTCATATTTTAGTTTACATATCCATTAAGATTGTTCCAATAATTAACAATATAAGATAAATATGAAAAAATATTATTGAAATTTTTCATGGTAAACATATAATTTTAAAACCTACTTTATCATCAAAATGATCTTTATATAATCTTTATCTGTTGTCAACTTTTTAATTTTTACTAATAAATTAAATTCTTTTTTACATGCATGTATAACTCATTGTTTTTGTTTTCTATAATTTTTCTTGATATTAGGCTTTATATTAATTATAATATTTTTTTTAGCATAAAAAAGTTAGTAAAAATGAATATATTGGTGATTTGCCAATATTAACAATGCCAGTGAAAACATTTTTGTCAAATTTAATTATATCACAAAACTCTAAAGAATTATTGAAAAAGTCAGCTAAACAAGTATTAACTGCTAGAAATGATCCCAGCAAACCAGTAGTAAATACTACTTCAATTCTTAATACTGTAAAGGAACGTCGAAAAAATCTTCCCCGCACTGCAAAAAGTTCACTGCCAATTATTTTACCTGATCCACAAAAAACTGAGTAATAATAAGTATAGTGATGTTATATTTGTATAAAATGACAACTAGATTTTTTTGTGTTTATTGTAAACTTATTTATTTTTATATATTGAAAATTATGAATGTGTTAAAGCTTTCATGGATTGTCTTGTTGCTTGAGGATATATCCATGTTTGCAGTTGAGTTCTGAATTTTCGGATTAAACAGTATAGTTGCAGCCACCGACTAGCAACCATTACTCTGAAGATGGACTCTGCAATGAGTCCAAAACGTCAGAACTCAACTGCAAACATGGATATATCCTCAAGCACTTCAAGCAATATTGAAAATTATCAGTGAATATTATGAAAAGACCCTTTCACATTTCATGATTATTTAAAATAATTTAATAACCTCCTTAATATCTAATAAAAATATTGTTTAAATTAAAATTATTTTACAAAATAGATAAACATTAAAATTATTTATTGATTTCTTTTCATATAAACATAACAATAATAATTTTTCAAGTATGGAGTGCATGCAATATTTCATATTACACTTAGCATATTTTTTTTATAGAGCAAAAGAAGGACCAAGGCAAGTTTTAGAGATGCTTACTAGTGGTCCCAAGTCATATGTATTTCATAATTTTAAACCAGAAATGATGAGACTTGTGCCTCCCTTATATGTTTGTAAAGAAGAAGTATGTAAATAACTAATTCATTTTTATATGTTATTTCTAAAAATTTCCTTATTATACAGATGGTATGGCTTAATATGAGCAGTCGATCAAACCACCAAATCATGTATGATAAAACCATGTGTGTATCAACTAGTGCTGCTACCGAAGCACGAGAGTTGATGTCTAAAGCTCTGAAAGCTCCTCTTACTTTACAACAACAACAACATCTTCTGGCTGAACTTGGGAATGACCCTAAACTTGTATATTACATAGGACTCACTCCGTGTAAAGTAATAAGGAATTTTTTTTTTTATTACATTTTCAGTATTTATTTCATACGATTTATTTTTCATAGTTACCTGATTTAGTAGAAAATAATCCACTTATTGCTATTGAAGTTTTGTTAAAATTAATGCAATCCCATTATATTACGGAGTATTTCTCAGTATTAGTTAATATGGAAATGTCTTTACATTCAATGGAAGTAGTAAATCGGTACTTAAAAACTAATTTTGTTAATTATTTTATTTTATTTTTATATTTTCTTATTTGTATTAAGACTAACTACTACAGTTGAACTACCCACAGAGTTTGTTCATCTTTACATATCAAACTGTATTGTTGCCTGTGAAACAATAAAAGATCAATATATGCAAAATAGACTAGTTCGCTTAGTTTGTGTTTTTCTACAATCACTTATTAGAAATAAAATAATAAATGTGCAGGTAGAGTAAAAATACTGAAATTAATTTATTTTCAATAAATAAAATAAGAATATAAATTATTCCAAATTGATTTTCTTAAGATAATTAATCAAAATATAGTAGATTTAATAAATTTTACCTTGAATTAAATTTTATATATTTATTTTGTAGGAATTATTCATTGAAGTTCAAGCTTTTTGTATCGATTTTATTCAAATTCGAGAAGCTTCTGCATTATTCCGTTTATTGAAACAACTAGAAACTGGTGATACATGTAGCATTGGCAATATAGCTGCTGCTGCTGGTATAACACCTAGTACAATAGCTGCTGCCAAAGATAAAGATAAAGACAAAGAAAAAGTAGTGCCTAAAGATAAATAATAGTATAATATATTAATCATCTTAAATGACATCAGACAGTAGATCAGATATTCTATGATAATAATTATTATTGATTTATATTATTGGTGAGACTATAATAAATAAATATTTGTTAAATAAACATTGTAGGTAAAATATATTATTGTCTGTAAAAAATATTTAAACTCATACATTTTATAAATGTATAGTATAAAATTAAAAATTATATAATATTTATAAATAAACAATTAAAATTAAAACTAAAACTAAATAAATGCAATATTCACTTTTACAGTATTTATTTATAATTGAAACCCTATTACTAAAAAATATTATTATAACTAAAAAAAAACATAACCCCTTATAAAAGGTTTAATGTTTTTCCAATTACTTGTAATTTCATGTTATTTGTTTATCAATGATTAATCATAGAAAAATTTTAAAAAAATCTCTAGTTTTTATGACTTAAACAATACATTTTAAGTATATTTTTAAATACTAAAAGAACTATACTTTTTTAATTTCAATTTTTAATCTACCTTTTTTGTTTGAATGACTCCAACTTTTTTTTTAATTAATCTCTTTCTAACCTTTAAAATTTGTTTAAAAATTAAATTAATTTTGTTGCTTACATAGGATCTCTTGGTGTTGAAAACACTGTTTTAACTTCAAAAATAGGGTTGAAAATTTAAAATAAAAATGTATAATACAGAACAGTATTTGTATATTAAGAATCCAAAAATCTAATTATTGTAAGTTTGTTTTGATAAGAATTGTTTTTTTTTAGAAACTTGATTATGTTATACCTATTAAATTATGAAAGAATATAATTTCTACGTAATAAGAATTTAAAATCATAATATTTTCTAAATTATTATATTATTTCTTAAATAAAATAGCTTTGTTAATTTAATAGATAGGTACATTTTTTTGTAAAAAAAAAACATTACAAGTAGATAGATATTTTACATTTAGTTATTAATTTTTTTTTTTTATATAAAATTATAAAATTAGCTGTCATAATTTAATTATGATTGCTAATTTTTAACCTGACATAAGCACAAATTTAGTTAAAAACTCGAAGATACTAAAATTTTAGTCTCCTAAGTGACTTGTATAGTACAAAGCCCCTACATCAACCTGATAAAAGTATTTTAATTAAATCATTTTCAATACATAAGAAATATTAGTAAACCTATTTTGCACTATACTAATGCATAACCAATGTTTAGTAAACGTATTAATGAAAATCTTCACAGGTTGTTGGCAAAAATGGTTTAGTTATAGTACTTGAATTAATTTATAAGTATTAGAATATACTTTCGGTTAACAAACATCCATGATATCTTCCAACAAAAAATTATTTTTGAGAAAAATCTTTTAAAACTATTATTTTAGTCTTTAAATTTTTACATTGAGTCTCAAAGACATCCTTAAATAATAGTTTTATGAAAAAAAAAATATGTGTGTCAACTAAACAATAATTTTTATTCATTAAAATGTTTAAAAAGTTAAGTATAGTAGAGGTCTATAAAAATGAAGTTAAGGCAATTTTTAGATTGGTACTGATTAATATCTGACAATGATTAAATCTCTGTTCTGAAACACTTCAATACATATTTAAAATGAAAAAAAATTTAACTTATCCACTAAAAACTACATGATTTAAAACTTTTGATTATTCATAGAAGACAAATCGTTGGAATGTTTTTTTTCTTTCTTTTTTCTAATTGTACAGTACACAAAAAAAAACCTTTCATTTGATTAACTTTTAAATAATACACATAAATTTTTCGTTTCTATTCAAATCACAAATTAGGTTATTTTTACCGAAAACTATATAATTTTGGCTTTTATGCCCAACAACAAGAAATTGAGATTTAAGATAGTTATAAAAAGTTGAAAAGAAAAGAGTTTTATGTGCTAATTAGTCCACTTTTCAGTACTTTAATAAATTATAGGAATTGTTATAAATGATAATAATATATTACCAAATTTTTGTGTTACTCAAAATTTTTGGGAGTGCTAAGCACCACCATATGGGAAACCTATGTAAACTCACAAAACTATAACTTAAGATTGTAATCTAAATTAAGTTTTCTAATATATTACTGTTAAACATGACTTATTAAATTTAAGAATTTATCTATTGATTCTCCTGATGGTAAACACTGACCAAATGCTTCTAACAAGAGTGACTGATTATTCACAGAAGAGGAAAAGTCTTCAAAAGACAGTTTAGCATCATTGTCACGGTCCATTTTTTTTAAAACAATTTCCACTAATTCCTTTACACCTTCATCTGGGTCTTCATCTTGTGGATGCTTAACCAAACAGTTCCTATAAAAAATTATTGTTGACACATTTATAATACTAGTATTATTAGCTACCTCAGTAAATTAAAAATTTCTTCTCGGCTTATAAATCCATCATTGTTCAGATCATAAATGGTAAATGTGTACTTAATTCGTTCTTCTTGAGTACCTCTTAATAATACTGAAAGTCCACTGACCCATTCATCTTCATGTATTACACCATCATTTCTATGATCAAAGAAGCAAAATATTCGATCCGTGAGTATCTCCTCTGTAGATATGCCAAATTCATTTTGCAAGAACTCCCTAAACATAAGCCTGTCGAATCCCTATAAGATAAATAATAGTTAGTTATAACATATTATTACTTTTCTCAAAAGTTTATGCCTGTGTTGGTGCTGAAATTAATACTGATGAACTCATTGCTGCAACCGTTGAAGTAGATTCAGTACTGTAAAAAGTCACCAACTTTTTAAACAGTTTACATAACCCAATAATTTCTTTCCTTTTGCAAAACATAAAATTAGTGAATTTTATCTTAATAATTTTTAACTATAGAAACATATAAATTTATTCAAGTTCAATTAATTTTATAATTACTTGGTAAATCTTGTTTGCTTGCATAAATTTTCCACAAGATTGGGAGGTCCCGACAATTTAACTTTTGACATAGTCTTAGTAGCTTGGGATTGTTCAATCGACTGTTTACGTTTTGAGTTTACCGATTTTATTGTTGGCCATTTCTTAGCTATGTTCAAAAATTGATTCCTAAGGAATTAATAAAACTTTACTGTAGTTAATTAATTAATAATAAGCCATAATTTTAGTTATGTTATTATACAATAATATTCCAAAATTATTAATGTTACATTTTAATATTTTTTAATTTAAATGTGACATTTAAATTTATTAAGTTCTACATTTTAAAATGCTCTTTGGTATCTATTTAAATTTATTTTCCATAATATTATATGATCTTATTTAGAACCGACATCTCTAAAAGTTATAAGGGATGATTCTAGAAAGTAATCAATAACTAATAAATCAAGAAATTTATGTAAGAAAAAAATACCAAAAATGTTCAATATTGTACTTATTCGACCAATAATCGAGTGGTCTATGATAAACCGATCACATTGTGATGTCTTTTTTTAATTATTATTTTATTTAAAATGTTTAATCTATTATTGGTAATATTTACGAACTTAACTTTTTTTTTCAATATTGAGATTGAATAGATTAACCAAAACGTACCAAATATTTATCTACTAAAATTATTAGGTGCATACTTTTAATAAATACAGTGTATCTTCAAATACTTATTTAAAAGTTTGTGATTTGAAGAGATTTTTATTTTATACGTTTCTATAATATAGGGAATTAGTTTTTTACATACAAACATATATGTGATGCGTAAAATACATATTTCAAATTTTACTCTTTAAAATGTAAAGTAAATGTTAAGAAACTTGTATTTTTCATTATTAATAGCTACAAGAAAGTTAAAAATAAGTTTTATTATTTACTTAGTTATACACCAATTTTAAGTTTTTTTTTTAATATACAGTGAAAAAAAATATGTAACATTGTTTTGTTTCGCCTAATAATGACTATAGGTGCTTTTTACACACAATACTTTTCAATTTATAAATTGAAAATTATTTGAAATATTCGATTAAATCAAATAAGTCTAAAAGCCTAGTTAAAAAAAAAATACTAAACAGTTTAAGTAGACTTAAACTTATTTACATGTACTTAATTTTTAATTGAAACTTTAAATGTATGGTTATGATTAAATTTTAATTATAATATGCATTGTAATAGAAATCATTGTTTTGATGATGTGATTCTAGACCAACTGTTCTGATATTTAACTCAGTAAGAATATTAAATTGTTAGGTTAGTAGATATTATCTATTATCTTCTAACCAAAGTTAAAGTAATTGTTATTGATTGCGAGTTGTCCATATTATTGCTATTATTTATGTTGCCGCAGAATTGATGACTTGTTGAAATAAAGCGACTGCATTTTAATAAAAATAATGGAGTTCTTTTGTATAAAGATACTATAAACGTTCATAAATTATTAAAAAATGTATTAAAACACTTATTAGAAAAAATCATACCCGGAGCAATCTAATGCTATTATTGACTTATACCAAACAGCAAAAGAAAGATCTTGTTGGGCTACTACCACTCATACCTACAGTTTTTTAGTACTTCTATTAAACTGTACCAACAGATACTCAGACATAAGTTTTATTGTCAGATTATGTAAATACTACTCTGAATAATTTAATCAGATATAAAAAGTATTACCAATATTATGTTACTCATAACCTAAATCAACAAAAGTTATTGTGATACATATCACAATAAGTTACATAACTTATTCTATTTTTTTAAGTTAAAAATAACAGTTATTATGTTTTTTTTTGTGTTCTTCTCAAGTGAGAGTACTTTATACAAGTTGTTATACATTTTATATTCGTAGTTAAATGTATTAAAATGAAAAAATTTTTTTTCAAATTTTATTCAGTTTAAATTTTATTTTGCCAAAATTATGAATTTTGAACAGAACATCTTCTACCCAACCATCACAAAATATTTCATAATTGGTTTCATTTTTTTTTTTAGATATATAGAAATCAAAATTTTGTAAAGCAGGAATTAATTTTTGGAAAACTATGCACCTCACAGTGTTTAAAATCGAAAAAACCTGATTAAAATTAATACAAGTTAAAATTTAATATTTAAAAACAATAAAAGTGCACTTTTATGTTTTAAAGTCGCTAAATTCAAATTTGATATTTTTTTTGTTATTTTGCTTTTATAGAGAGTTGGAAGGGTTAAATATTTGATATAAACTATAACTTATTTTGACATTTTTGAATTCTTTATTATTCATAGTTGGTATTTGTTACATTCTCCAAAAATATAAATAGTTTAATAGTTTTAAATTATTGTTTAGTTTAGTTTTAACTTTAATTAAACATCATAAGAATGATTAATATCCACTAATGGTGGGTATTAACTAGTTAAAAAGTTAATTTTTTTTTTAATTTATCAACTTAACTAGTAAATTATTTTTCTAATAAACTTTATAGTTTAACTAATTTAATTTCCCGTTGACATAACTTAGTTTTTTTAGTTAATATTAATGACTTGTAGTAACACACACAAGTAGAGTAAAAAATAATAAACTACAAAGTAAAATTATTTTCTCAACTTGAGAGAACGAAAAATATTTGAATAAATTTAACTTTCTATGCTATGTCAATTACATTTATATAATATATATGAAAATCTGTGTTCTCCCCTTATAAGGTATTTTAAAATAAAATAAATACAAAACCCAGAATTTTAATAAAAAATAGTATATATTTGAATACAGTGACTATTTTTACAAATCAGAGGTCAATTTTTTTTTTCAAATTAAAGTATATTACATAAGCTTTAATCTAAGATATATATAAAAGCGTCAGTATTTCCGGAACATTTTCAAAAGTTAATTTTTTATGAAAAAGTTGCCATTTTTAAACCTCCCCTGTAAAGGTCAAATGTTCACACAAATATATTAAATTATAGGTTAATACCTAAGGTATTTACGAAAAAAAAATTATATTGATTTGTTCATTTTTTAAAAAGTTATGGCAGTTTCAAGAAAAAATAATTGAAAAAATGTCGAAAATTACCAATTTTTAACTTTTTTAAGGATTTCCCACGTCTACTGGGAACGAGGGAATTTTTTTCAATTTTTGAGAGTAATGTCTTCGACTAGATACAATTTACAATTTTTTTGTGACGTATTAATTATCAAAATCGGTCCAGTGAGAGCTGAGATTGAGTGGTAACAGACACAAAAAAAAAAAATAATAATAAAACAAAACATATCATAGTAAAATTAATACCTTCTCAGCTTCGCATCGAAGCTAAAAGTTGTGTTCTTAATCTGGTCTTTATTAATAATAATCAACAAAAATCAAATAATGTTTTTTTTATCGACATTTTTTATGTTTTAATAACGACGATACGATTTTTTAAAAAATATTAGCAGCTATGGTTGGTGACTATGTTGCCAACAATTCTAGATTTTATTTAACTTGATAAGTATACGTGATTACAGATACAAATCAGTAAGAATTAAACTTGTGTGAAAAAAATGTATAACTGTAGTAGTAAATCTATGATATACGTTGTCATATAAATATGTTCGTGTAAACATTGTTTTATGTACCCTTCATTAAAAAA